CAGCTGTTTCTATACTGCTGGATTTCATTGAAATGCGGGCTTTAAAAGCCCTTCACTTGTCATTTTGAGTTAGCATGCCTTAATCACAAATCTCACCATAATATAATTCAACTGATGCCTGAAACTCAATACAGCAGAACATTGGCTGAACAGTGCACTTAGCAGCAATCACCAACTAGAATGTATATTTTCCATGGAAATGTCCTTTTACATTATTTGTGGCCTCAGAAATGTCTAATATATCCATTTTTCTAATACAACCAGATATAGCAGTCTCCATTATGCTCTTCCCTCTTTTCTTTATCCCACTGGGAACATATATGGGAATAAGATAACCTGTCTACTTTCAGGTTTAATCCTACTAAAAAATTGATATGCCCCTCTCAGTCAAAGAACTGTAGTAATTAGACAGTGCTGAGTACACTTGTCTGTCTTAAAGCTGAGATGAGAAAACTTCCAGTTTAGTGATCAGCAGTTCAATGGTTCAGAACAGAGGAATATCAATCACATAAACAAAAATATCTCTGTGTGTTTGGAAGGTGGAGTTATAGAACTTGGCAATAAGTACTCAGTTAACCTCTGTGCCTCAGTTACTGTTCTCTTGTTCCTGGGATAAATACACAACATCCAAAATTAAGGAAGGAAAGGTTTATTTAGCTCAGTTAGTGGAGGCTCAGTCCATGCTCAGCTGGCTCCAAGGCAGGATGGCACAAGGCAGAGAACAGCAGTTCTTGGTGGTAGAAAACAGCACAGAGCAGAGGAGGAGCAGTGGCTGAGGCAGCAGAGGCAAGCCTCTCTCCCTTCCCTACACTGTAATGCAGATTATCCACCCCACAGCGGGAACAGCACTAAGACCGGTAAGGGAGATTTGGATCAAGAATTAGTCACAAACTCTAGAAGCTGCCCCATGACTGCAGGAGCCTTTGCGGGGACAACTTGACACAAACCATAACACTCTGGTATACTGGAGATTGTTTTTATCTGCTTGTCTTCACAGGCTGTTTATTTAAAAGTTCAACTGTTAAGACTACATGTGAATGTTCTCAGTGTTGATTTTAATGCTGCTTTTCAAAATAAACTAGACTCTTCGTGTCCATTTAAAGCCTTCATATGGACATTGAAAGCCAGATGCAAGGATAAGTAAGCTAAGCTACTCTTACTTTTTTTTTTTTTTTTTTCAGAACCGGGGATTGAACTCAGGCCCTTGCACTTGCCAGGGAAGTGCTTATTCCACTGAGCCATCTCCCTGGCCTCTTATTTTTTAAATACACTACAAATATTTATTTTTAAAAAACCCAACTGTGGGGAAGTTCTTTTAGAATTTGTTTCTCACATAAACTTATATCCAGGAATAAAGAGATGATCTTTACTTTATTGATGCAATCATTGCATTAAGAATTGGGATTCGATGTATTGAATTTTAGGCAGAATTTGCTGGGCATTGAGACATAAAATGGTTACAGTTGCCCATTTTTCCTCCAGCAGTATTTTAAGTCATGAGATAGATCTTGGGTATGCGTTCATTCATTTATTTATTTAAAAATATTCACTCAGTTCTTCCTATAATGGGTGAAGAATTACTGCATGGATGAGATGGAACGTATTCTTGGCTCAGTATAGGGAGCTAGGGGCCGGGGAGATAGCTCAGTACAATAAGCGCTTGCCTGGCAAGCACAAGGGCCTGAGTTCAATCTCCAGTTCCGCCAAAAGTAAATAAATAAATAAAGTATAGGTAGCTAGGGTAATAAAACAAATACCCCTAATACAAAGTGACTTAATTTCATTACAGGCATGTGTTGCGCGTGTCTGTGTGCTCATGTGTAAGATGAGGGAGGGCAGTGCTCTTTGTGCAGGTAAGGCATGCTCTTTAATCACTGCTTCACCCTCCAGATCCACTTTCCATCCTTTTCTACCCTGCTCTTTCTTTACAGGGTTTCTTCATTCAAACTTTGAGTAACTCGTGTCCTGGTTGCCAGAGACACAGCTGGCCTGGTTCCTTCAGGCCCAGTTTTTCTGTCAGAAGTCAGTGCTCAAGCAGGACACCCAGGGCAGGCAGTGACAACCATCTCAGTAGACATCCAACTCAAGGACTATCATGTCTGACCTCACACAAGGCAATATCCCCTTAACCAAGAGGTTAGACGGGTCAAGACCTGTTTAATAAGCTTTTGGCTACAGAATTACTGATACCACACCAGGCCCTGTGCAACGCACCCATTTTACCAGTAGTCAAGTCATTGGGAGAATATCATCTAGCTCGGGATTTCAGAATTATCAGTGAGGCAGTGCTCCATGTCCACCCCTTAGTGGCAGACCCACACCCCTTGCCTGCACGGATCCTGGGAGACCTTAACAGGTTTCCGTCCTTGACCTCAATGATACCTTCTTTTCTATTCATGGGAACTCCAGCTCTCAGTACTTGTTAGAGTCACCTCTCTAGGTTAAAACCCAAGCCACTTGAGGTGACAAGAAACAGACCACAAACCTCACACACCTGCCAACCAGTGGATGCCCTCAAGTTTTTCTCAAAAAAGCTCCCCCTCAATAACCTATTAGGCCAAATAAATCATTTTGTTTCCTCCAAATAAAAAGAAAAATTGGCCCCATCTTGAAAATAGAGTTCCTCCTTGAATGACTTCTGTAGCTAGTTTTGCTTGCTGTGACATTCCTGAGGTCCTTCTCCAAGTTATAAAATGACCTCTGTTGGCTTGTCCTTATTTTTTCCTGGGATTCTAACGGGGTCAAGATTTTGTCAGTGGAGACCCTCCAATTGTGTTTCTATATTTCCCTGAAAAGATTGCTGTTACCCCATGACCAGTAACTGTTTGCTGGTGCCTGGTTATGAAAATTCAACTGAATGAGTGTTAGTAAATACCCAAACAAATATCATGCATTGGAAAAATAAAATTAGGGGAGGTGCTATAGATATTTCCTGATGGGCCCTTTCATTCTTTGACTGGAGCTACATTGGCAGACACTTCTCCTGCCTGGAAAACACAAGCAATCAGCTCATCTGTTTACTATTAAAAATAGTCTCTGTCTCAAGCCTCAGGGACTTTTCATCCTATGTGGCACTAATTCCTGCTCATGTCTTTCAGAAAACTGAACAGAACATGCATTTATCTTATTATCTAAATATTTATATATTTATAAATATTATCTAAATATGTGTTTATAAATATTATCTAAATATTTATGTATTTTATCTTATTTATATGCATCTAAGGGTGCACTCACCTGAACCTGAACAAGGCTCCAGGAGATCGCTATCCTTTATTAATGGTTCTCACAGCCTTAATATTTAGACCATACATATTTAATCCCTGTGTCAAATTTGTTTTTTTCTTGTTTAACAGCCATTAAGATACCAATGATGACCCAAGCCAAGGACCAAAACTCACTTCCATTCTGTGACTCATCAAAAAGTCTCCAGAGGAAGAGTATGGTTGCCTTGGCTTGCTAGATCAGGCAGGATAAAAGTTATTTGGCCTCCAGATACTTAGCGCCAGTGCCCTTATTCAGCGAGAAGTAACTACAAAATATAGATATTCCTCACTCTGGAATCCTTAAAGATTTTCAGGGACCAGATCTCTCAGGGGCAAATAACATAGATAGTACCATTACAAGTTATGGGTTCACTCTCCCTCCACTCACCTAAACCTGAGCAAGGCCTCCGGGCCAACCCCCTGACCTTTAATCCTAAAACATTCTACCTAAAGGCAAAACTAAAATCAAAGAGAACTCTGGACTTCCAAAGACCCAACCCAGAATGCACATGTGCTAGACCTGCCTAAATACCTGCAGTGACTTTTTTTCATTTGAAACTTGCTAAAGGTTCATACATGTGCACTGCATCTCATGCATCCAATTATAACAGAATGAATTATGGGAAAGGGCATGTGCAGTTGATACAACTGATATACCTCAGCACCATGTCAGTCCTGTTGTCAGTCATCCCTGAAAGACCCAATAAGAGGGACCCTAGGCTAGGTGAACATCTCAGATCTTTAAATCCAACTGCATCCATGTTTGCTCCATTTTCCTTTCCACTTGGGCCATATTTCCTTTCCACCAGCATGTGTCAACTCACTCTGAGCAAAAGTATACCTTCACCTAATTAAACTTCATTTAAACTAGATGCATTTTTCTTACCAGTGGGGCAATATCCAACTCTCCATTCATTGTAAGAAATACCAATCCTGGAACACTAACACCAGCAATAACATCTCCACATTCACACTGGGACAATCCTGCTGAAAACTGAGTCATTCTGGACCCGTCTTCCCAACTCTTATCAAAGCATGTAAATTGTGTACTATTACTTACATTTTTGAAATTGACTTTTTAATGTTTTTAAAGCAAGTTTATATTGTCTCAATTACATTGTTAAAATTCCTAGTTATATTTTTAATACACATTAGCTTAAATAAATAGCTATGAAAATAGAAGATCTCATCTGCATACCACTGAAACATGAGGACATCACATTAGAGCACAACAAAAGGGTGATAGGACTGGTCAAGAACAAGATTCAGGATTCTCCAGAGCTGCAAGTTCCATAACATGTCCGCTTCCTTATGTTGCTGCTACCCTGATGAGGTGGGGTGGTTGATAAGTTCATTTATGCCTGTAGAAAGCCCCAGAAAAGCACAAGTGCTTTACATGCTGTGCAAGAGTAGAAATTAGAATGTAGCCCTTCCTCAAAAACAACAGAATAGGGCTGGGGAGATAGCCCAGCAGCATAAGCACCTGCCTGGCAAGTGTAAGATCCTGTGTTTGATCCCTGGTTAAAAGTAGAAAAACAGAATATCATGAAAAGAGATGTGGGCTTTGAAGAGAAGCCTTGATCTAGCTCAGTGGACAAAGAAAACATGGAGCTATTTGGGTCCAGGAAGCCTGTCCCCAGGGGGACCAGGATTACATTACCAACGTTCCACACACTTGCTGGAACTTTAGGGGTTCTAAAGTTCTGTTAATTATGCTGGGGTCCAGGGCTCAGAAGGGCCAGCCTCAGGGCCCAGGGCTGTGATGGGTCACAGTCCCTGAGGAGGGGCCACTTGTCCAATCAGTACCAGGGACTTCCACACTTGCCGGGCTGAGAGGCCATGTGCTGGCCGAGAACATGGAGCCAGCTCTTCCTGCCGGTTTTCCTCTCCTTGTTTCTCATCCAACTGCTTATCAACTTCTCAGACAATGGGTTTTCCCACATCTTAAGTCAGAGGAACAAGCAGAAAAGTAAAAGGGAGATTGAGGAGGGTGAGTGTTCCCGAGCCCAGAGGCAAGTGCTTGTCAGGCTCCACTATGTCTTATCTTTTAGCAATGCCATCCTGGCTCACTGAAATTGCTGCCTCAAAAGTTGCTGCTTGGTTTTGGAGGAAGGCATCTTTAAAGGCTTTAGATATTTTGGGGAAAGCCAATGTTAAGTGGAAATCAAATTGGTTTCCTTTATCTGAAACATAAAAGGGGGATAAAACCAGGATCAATTTGAGAAAAGCGTGAGTTTTGTGTTTGTGACCTATAGCCAATACACTTCATGGTGTGGATGAGACTGGGTTTTGTTCTAATCTAATCCCACTCACTAGCCATACAGCTTTTTCTTAGTGTTTAGGTCTCAGCTAAGAAATTGCTCAATGGGATTTTCGTTCCTTTTTGTTTACAGTACCTAGGCTGAGCCTGGCCTTTGCACTGAATTATATCCCCAGCCCTCTTTGTTTTAATTTTTGGACAGGGCCTGGATAAATTGTCAAATTGCACAAGCTGAGCTTGAATTTGTGATCCTCTTTCTTCATAGCCTCCCAGGGTTGGGTTATAGGTGTGTGCCACCATGCCCAGCTAGTTTGAGTTTTTCTTAAACACTACTTCAGTGTGGAGGGTTCCTTTAGTTTTCCTCCCCAGCTAAAAAATTTTTGAGGCAAATCTATGCTGAGTTGAATTCATTAACCTGGAAATAAGGTTTTTTAATATCTTAAAATGGAGCTGCATACATAAAATAGAATTTGAATTACTCTGAAAATATGCTATAAGGCCAAGAATGCCATTTTTAGGAAGACTAATTATTTCTGTGCATTTCCAGAATATAAAGTGTACAACAATGTTAGTATGTGTAAGCAAACCAGGCTTCCAGCTAAACCTGAACACAGCAGCTCTCAGCTTTGCACTGAAATTAGAATCCCATTTGAATGGAGGGGGCTGGGCGGAAGCAGACGCTAACTTGTTTCCTTTGATCTCATTTGCCCCATACATCTCCTTTTTGTTTTAATCTCCTGATCACTCCCATACGTACTTCAAGAGAAACTGTGTCCCAGTGAAATTCTGGCCCCTTCTCCTTGTAAACAATACTTCAAATACAGGCCAAGCATAGAAACATACCTACCATTCCCAGATTCCCTAGCGAGATGAAGACATACAAAATTGTTTTTCAAAATATTTTACTAGAATGCTGAAGACAAAAAGAAAAGTAAATAAACATATGAAACAGATGAAAAGTTATAAATAACTTTTTGGTCTCCAAAGATCAAAGTTCCTGGTTTCAGCTAATTCATGCCTAGCGCTGACCAGTTCTGATCCATATTCCTGGGCAAACACTTACCTTTGCCTGAGAAGCAGGTTCATCTTGCCATTAGCACGTTGACTGTTGGCTTCCTGGTCTCAGACAGGCTTTCTCCTCAGACAGGTTGCATTTAACATTCCCATCGCACAAAGACCTGGCTTCTTAGGCATACAAAGGCATCCTAAGCCTTCATGGAAAATTTCACTTACATCTCTGGTTGTGCTCTAAAAAATAGTACTTGGTAAAGAATTGCCCACCAAGCCCTGAGTTTAACTAAATATTTACTCAAAGGGTGATGGATTTTATTGACTAAATTTGAAATTTTCTGGTTCTAAGTTTTTCTGCTGCTAAGAAAAATGAGGGATTTGGAGTTACACTGAGCTGTGACATAAAACTGAATTATTATATTGAGAGACTTACAAGGTGTGATGAACAGAGGTGGTGAATATTTAAATTTTACATTTATTGCAGCAAGACATACTGCCATTAATCAAAATATTCACCCTTGCTTCAAATACAATTACTGATTTTTCTCACTGTTTTCAGAGACAATTTTGGAAGTCCTTTTGCATATCTTTGTAACGTGTAATAAAAATTACAGTGAATGGGGCTAGGGAGATAGCTACATGGCATAAATGCCTGCCTGGCAAGTGCAAGATCAAGAGTTCGATCCCCAGTGCTGCAGAACCTCGAGTGCACCATGTAGGCCCCAGAACCATATGTGGTGGCGCACGCTTATAATCCCAGTACTAGGGAGGCTAAGACAGGAGGATCACTAGTCCAAGCCATATATATATATTACAGTGAATGTTGATGTCTAGTGCCATCCAGCAGAAAAGCAGGTCATGATAAAAGTCACAGAAGAAGACTTACAGAGCTGCTTTAGAAAGTAATGAGAGGGGCCAGGGAGATAACTCAGTAGAATAAGTGCTTGTTTGGCAAGCGCAAGGGACTGCCAAAAACGAACAAACAAACAAAAAGTGTTGAGAATGTTGGGATAACTGTGCGCATGTGTGTTTGTAGGTGTATTAATGCAAATGTGTCGTAATTTTTTTTTTAATGTATTTGGTACAGGGTCTCACTACGCAGCTCAGACTTGTAGTGATCCTCCTGTTTTCAGCCTCCCCAGAGCTGGAATTACAGGTGTGCACCACCACGCCCAGTCTCGGTTGCTAGCTCAACACACCTGGGGGCCGGGCCATCATGGCATGTAGTGCCAGACATTGACAGCCGATCCCTGTTCTTGCCTAAGCAGGTGCTTAGTCTGCTGAGCCATCTCACCAGCCCTTCCTGCAATAATTTTTTTTTTAATTTAAGCTTGCATTATTTCTTGATTATATCTTGTACATCAAATTCTAGCTGTTCTTTAATGCTCCCCTTGGTCTACTGGATTTGAGTAGTGCTATGAGAAGTACTGATTTTGTTCTACTGAATTCTTTCCCTGCCTTTCTGATTGTCCCTATGTCATGGAGAGTCAGATGAACTCAGAGATGAAAGGGCAGCGGCTCAGACTGTCTGGACTCATCTCCCAGTTCTGCCGTTTACTAGGTGCACACCTAGTGGGTCACGGTTGCTCTGTCAGTAAAATGAGAATGGTATCTTCCTCAAATGACAAAGCTGAAAAATACAGGCAGGGCCATAAAATTTCAAGAATCTCAGAAAGGGCCAGGGAGATGGCTCAGTGGAGTAAGTGCTTCCCTGGCAAGTGCAAGGGCCTGAGTTCAAGCCCCAGTTCTGAAAAAAAAAAAAAAAAAAAATCTCAGAGAGGAATTGCGATTGAAGTGAGGGAGACAAGCACAGAGAGGAAAGAGCTACCTTCAAAGGCAGTGGTGCTTCTGCAGTTTGTTCAAGCTCAGCAGCCCTGAACATGAAGAGCAGGAGGGAGTTGGGAGCAACTGTCATAGTGGCAATCTTGGGGCCCTGATCCCCCTCCACATTCTCAACTGTCTCCAGAGACAGGCAGCAGAGGTAGCAGGCACAGTTGCCCGAGCCAGCAATGGATGTGGATCATAAGTATGATAGGAAGATGCAATAAAATGTCTTAAAAATTCAAAGCCACAGCTCACCTCTAGAAAGAGTCTGCAAGTTTGAAACCACTAGGAGAACTAAAGGAACAGAATAAATTAATAATATAAGATAACTTACAAATACTGCTAAAGAAGAAACCAAGTATAATGGTGTTAATATTAGATGAAACTAAATTCAAGTTTCAAAATAATTTAGAAGTATAAATGACATTCAGTTTTAACATAGGCAATACATCAAGAAAACGTATATAAACATAACAGAAAAGCTTTGAAATAAAGCAAAAAACTGATAGAAATTTAAAAAAAGCATTTGAAAAATTCAAAACTACATGAATTCACTTCATGTGCCTGCATCATAAATCAGCAAATCAAGTAAATAAACCATAAGGCTGTAGGATAGAGATTTTCAATATGTAGAATCTTGTGATTTGTTGGGGGTTTTTTTGTAGCTGTTCTTTAAAAAATTCCCTTCTAGATAACTTCACTTAACTTAACCTATTAACATTTAACGATTATTCATTGCAATACCAATAAAAAGGTTTCATGTTATATGCAGTGTAATATATTTTGATGCCAGGCATCTCTGGATGTTTGAAATGGTGACCCTTCCTGGGAGAAGAGAAAGCCAAGGACGTTTCAATATTGATAGGAAACTGATAGAATGGCCAGAGAGAAGTACAAGCCAGTGATGCTGCAGAAATCATGAAAAATGTAAGCAAAAGGAAGGCAGTAACTAGACAGAATATATACAAACACCAGTCCTGCGGTGAGAAGAATCTGGTGCCTGAAAGCACCACAGAAATTGCTATGACCCCTTCAGGAAGAGCATAGAAGAAAGAACCAGAAGGTACATGCAGCACAGAGCTCAGCTGCTCCTCGCTGGTTTTCCGAGGGAGACCATAATGACTATCAAGGAGATTGCTAGTTAGTCACACAAATGCCAATGGAAGCCTCTGGCATGGAACCAGTGCAGTCCATTCACTGACCTATGCTGAGGAAGGAACCTGACTCCTTAGAGGCTTTTTGCCAAAACCTGTAGTTCCAGTTCATTTATTTATTTTTGGGGGGCCTGCCCCTTAGCTCAGCTCTTTAAGTGGCTGCTTCAACAAAGCAGTCAGGCTCAGGTTGCTGTGGTTCCATCCCCACAACTCAAGCCAGCCAAACCTGCCCTGAAGACATTCGGAGAAAAAAAAAAAAATCCTTATTTATTTTTTATCTTTTTAAAAGTTAAAAATTCCTTAATTTTTTTTTAATTCCTGGTACCACTACCACAATTTATTTATTTATTTATTTATTATTATTATTATTATTATTTTTTTTTTTTTTTGAGGAACCGGGGATTGAACTCAGACCCTTGCGCTTGCCAGGGAAGCGCTTATTCTGCTGAGCCATCTCCCAGGCCCCTGCACTACCACAATTTACAGGGCAGTATACCTGATGTAATGAAAAGAAAGAAAAAGACAAAGCTACAACAGAGAAAAGACCTCTAATTGACACTATATTGCATTAATCAACAGCTGCACTTTTGCAAACTGTGGCTATGACAGTCCTGAAGGAGAAGGGCTTCCTGTTTAAGCTGCAGTAACTTTTCTGACTGTGGATCATCATTCCTTCTGTGGCAGATTTTTACATGCATTTGGGACGACTGTCTCAAAGTAACCTGCAGCTTTCCTGACAACCCCTCACTCTCTCTCCTGCTAAGAACCATAGCCCTTTTCTGTTGTTTTTGTAAAACCTTCTGATACCATATCCATCATTTCCACCACCAGCTCCATAACTACCACCATAGAAAGTGCCAGAGCTTCTTCCCCCAAAACTGCTCCCCTTCATGGGTCCGTAATTTGACTGTGGTTATCTACTATAATTTCCCAAATCATTGTAGTTCCTACCACCACCATAGTTACCACCATCAAAATTTCCTCCTTGATTCTGTTGGTGGTATTAAAGAAGATACAGAAGAATATAATTTGAGAAACTACTTTGAAAAATATGGCAAGATTGAAACCATAGAAGTTATGGAAGACAAGGAGAGTGGAAAAAAGAGGATTTGCTTTTGTAACTTTTGATGATCACGACACAATTGATAAAATTTTTGCTCAGAAATACCACGCTATTAATGGGCATAATTGTAAAGCAAAAAAGGCCCTTTCTAAACAAGAGATGCAGTCTGCTAGATCACAAAGAGGTCATGGAGGTGGATCTGGCAACTTTATGGGTCGTGGAGGAAACTTTGGAGGTGGTGGAGGGAATTTTGGCCGTGGTGGAAACTTTGGTGGAAGAGGAGGTTACCGTGGTGGAAACTTTGGTGGAAGAGGAGGTTACGGTGGTGGAGGAGGTGGCTGCAGAGGTAGCTATGGAGGAGGTGATGGTGGATATAATGGATTTGGAGGTGATGGTGGAAACTATGGTGGTGGTTCTGGTTACAGTAGTAGAGAAGGGTGTGGTGATGGTGGACCAGGATATGGAAACCAAGGTGGCGGATACAGTGGTGGTGGAAGAGAATATGATGGTTACGATGTAGTTCCAATTTAATCAAGTGAAAAGCATCAAGCATGTACAAACTGAGGGGTGTGCCACAAACATCTGTCCATTACTCCGCAAAATTACCAGGACTGAGAAAGTGCCACAAGCCAAAAGTGACATGATGAGTAAATGAAATGTGATGCTCTGGATGGGATCTTGAAACGCAGAAAGAAAATCAATGTAAAAGCTAGTGAAATCTTTATAAAGTCTGGAGTTCAGTTCAAAGCAATGCATTAATGTCGGCTTCTTGGTTTTGATAAATGTACTGTAATAGCATAAGATAGTAGCCCTGGAGACAAGTACTCTTCATATGGTGCTTCTGTAACTCTGAAATTATTCCAGAATAAAAATTCCATTTAACAAAAAGGCTGTGACAGAGCAAGCAAGGGAATGCTGTCTACTCAAGCAGTTTGTCCTCCCGCTCCTCTGTCAGGCATTCTAACAGATAATACGCCGGCATCTCTGCCATTTACCTTGCCTGTCCTTCCATTCAGTTTTCCCATGGGGACTTCAAAAATACTGTCGGTTAGAAGGAAATAATTCTCAGTAGGGTTTGATTTGAAAAATGGACCATAAGCTTTTTCCAAGCCAAATCAGATCTACATTCAAAATAGAAAAATTGTGTCTGCATGTTGTACCATATAACCACTTAGTGCCAATAACCACTAAGACAACAATATGTAATGTATTAATTATTGAAACTGTGCTAGTAATTGGTTTTGAAACTGTCTCATTGCTATTTGTTTCTCAATAAAATTTTTTTTAAAAAGAATATAAAAACATGATTAAAAAAATAGAAAATGTCAAACTTTCCCACAGAGCCTGTGAAGAGGCTCTTACTCTAGTAAGAGGCAGTGACCTTATTGTCACTATATCATAGAATAGCTATAACACTAATTTCAGACCATTTTCTTCAAAAAACCATACTGAATAAAGTTACAAAAAGTTTTTAATTTTTATTAATATGTTTGTAGCATATGATTGCATTCATCATGAGTTGTTGGTTCATATTCATAACATATCTTTTTTTTTTACCCCTTCCCTTCCTCCATCTCTCCATCACTTTATTTACAAAATAAATAAAATAAATATTTCAAGGGTTTTAATTTTATTTATTTTTTTATGTGTTTAGTACAGGGTCTCACTATGTAGATTGGGCTCATAGTTGGAATTAGAGGTGTGCGCCACCATGCCCCGTTTCCATCACAGTCTCAGCGGGCTCTGGAGGTGGGGCCTGCATGGCTTGTAGTGCCAGAGGCCCCTGCGCTCTGCCTAAGTAGGGGCTTTAGTCTCCTGAGCTATCTGGCCAGCCCTTGAAGGGTTTTTATACTATGATGTTTTAAATGTACATGATGTTGCCAATTTGGGTTTTTTGTTGTTGTTGTTGTTTTCTTTTTTTTGTTTTGTTTCATTTTTGGGGTTGCTTTTTTTTTTTTTTTTTTACAATCTGGCTAATTGATTTAGAATGAAGCCATTTCATATTCTTCCAAGTACCAAAGGGAAATGAGTTCAGATTTAAATAGAGTTTATGGGAAGAATGTCTAGATACATGAAAACGATGGGGTACAATATTTGAGCATGGGTGAATACGCTTGAAGTAGAAATGAATGAATAAAGTGTACTTTTTAAGTCAAGTTGTACAATGAACAGGCTTTGAGTTTACATTTTGTACTTAACTTTTTTTTTCTTACAGCATGTGCTCAAAAGAAAAACTGTCAATTGTGCACAGAAGACAAGAAAGTAAGTTAATTTTTTATGTGGAAATTATCTTTGGAATGTTATAAACTCACATTTAGGGTAACCATCTAAAATGTGGTAAACTTTGTTTTATCTGAAACTTTATAACAAGAATAACTAATAATAATTATTGAGATCTATCTCTCCATTTCAAATCATTCTTTCATGTCCTAGAATAAACATTGGAAATAACTGAGTTGCAAACATGATCTTCTTCATAGAAAATCATATTTTTAAAAAATGCTTATCCTGAAAAAGAAAATCACACTGAGAATAGGGAAGAATTTGTTGTAAGTAAAAGAAAAGATGCCTTTTGAAATGCAGTGAAAATTTCCTGGGCACTTCTAATCCCACAGGCCGCAAGAAGGGCACCCTGTTCATTACCCACAGTAAAGCTGGGCTCCCTGTTCTGATGAATAAAATGCCTGACTTCATCACTGTTCAGTCCAGATCTGATAGATAGCAGACACACCAGAAATAAAGAAGGAAATGCTGTTACTTTGTTTCACCGAGAGCTCTGCAGCAACCTTTCCAAAACCATTCTAGTCTGATGCTGTTGGTGAACTAACACCAGAGACGAAGGTAACAATCACTAATGAGAAAAGATATTGTGTCAGTTACTTTTCTCTTGTTGCTGGGACAAAATGCCAGATACCCAAAATTAAGTAAGGAAAGGTTTTTGTAGCTCGCAGTTAAAGGAGGTTTCACTCCATACTTGACTAGCTCCAAGGTAGAGTAGCACAAGGCAGAGGGCATCCATTCATGGAAGCAGAAAACAGCAAAGAGCAGAAGGGACGTACAGCAGCTGTGTCTTCTAGCAAGCCCCTCTCCCCTTCTTACATTGTGCTATAAATTATCTGCCCCCAGCAGGTGTAGCACGGACACCCATAATCCTAGCATTGGATCATGAGTTAATCACAAACTCTAGAAGCCATCCTATGACTGCATGAGGCTTTGGGGGGACAACTAGACACAAACCATAACAGGTATTTAATGTAACTGGTGTTTAGTACAGCGAGCCACCATTCTCTGCCTCTTTTCTCCTCTTGGTCAGTTGTCAGCTTTAATGGAGAACTGGGCTCTGGTTCATGAAATTCTCCACCTAGTTTCTGCCATAACCTTCCATGTTTTTCTCTGAGTGGTGATGGCCCAAACACAGTTTTCCCACAGTGTCCTACCTTCCTCACCCTATATATTAGGACATCACTTCCATGGCAAAGTTTGGCGGGGCACTTTGTATGTAGGGTGCTACTTTCTCATTGCCTAACACACTGTACCTACTCCTGGGCCTCAACAAGGTAGGATTGTCCTCCAGTCCTTTAACTCCCTCATTTTTTCCTCTGGTTATTGGCCCTCCCTTGATAGACTCCCTTCCTGTGAATTCTGATAGGAATGCTCACTTGAATGGAATATTCCTCCACTTTTTGATTGCTGAGTGTTCCAGTGTTAAACGGGAATGTTCAAACACAGAGAAACAGTTGGAGCTTGTGCTGTGGTACATACTTGGAGTCCAATCTGCTTGGGAGGCAGAGGCAGGAGGACAGCCTGAGATGAGGACAGGAAGACCAGCCCATACACCACAGCAAAATCCTATCAGAGAGAGAAAGAGAAAACAGAATAATAAAACTTCATATCTCTAAGAACAATCTTGTTTCATGTATGCCTCCCTCCCCAAATGGATTACATTAAAGTAAATAATATATGTTATATATAATATATATATATATGATTTGTATGTTATATAATATATATTTATATACTAAATACTTGACTTTAAAATATTGCAAATCCATTACCATAATCATGAGTTAGCAATAACTTTTTAATATTAATTATCCAGGAAATAATCAATTTACTTTTTCTTTTTCACATTGAAAACATCAGATTCGGGGCCAGGGAGATGGCTCAGTAGAATAAGTGCTTGTCTGGCAAGTGCAAGGGCCTGAGTTCAATCCCCAGTTCCGCCAAAAAAAAAAAAAAAAGGAAAACATCAGATTCATAGGCTGCACTTGGCTGATGCATAGCTTAATTCTATTCTGATCTAAAGTTTCCTTTACCCTCTCTTTTTTTTTTATTACAGCTAACTTCCTTGCCACAGAAACTGGGTTGCTTGCCCCTTATATTTCCTGTAGTCTGGATTTTGATGAGGACATCCATATTCCTCTAAGGGGCTTGATCTTGTTCCTTTTTTTCCTATTATTCTGTTCTTACAAACTGAAAATTAGACGCAGCATCCTGAGCAACAGATTCAGTTAATTTTTTGGCATATCTATGTCATATTGGAGACTTTTACTAGAAGATAAATAAGGATTGTTGTCTAGCATTTGGTGAATTTAGCTATCAGTGATAATCCTGGCCTGGATCCATTATATCCTTGGGGATTACAAAAACCACCATTAGTTAATAGCCTTGTCCTCTTATTTTAAACTGTGCTGGATCTACATTCCCCAGGTTTGATTGGTCCTTCAGTTTATCTATTCCCTTGCTATGCATTATTAGCTGATTCCTGCTCAAGCATATGACATTAAAGTTTGCATTAGTACATCAAATTCATAATTTCTGAGCTCACCTGAGCTCAAGTCTTATCTACTTCTTTCCTTTGGCTGCCAGCATTTCCCAAAATATTCCACAGCAGCAATTCCAAAATTTTCTCACTGCCTTTGAAGTTCCAGTGTTATCTCACTATATCACTCTCAATAGGTAATTTCTTCTCTGATTTTACATTTAGAAATAGAGGCTAAAAATATAAATTTTACCCCCTGAATTGATGGAATTGCTGTCCCTTTTACCCAGCCTTAGACATGTTTACTCTTCCCCTTAGCAGAATATCTCCTCCATTTCCCTCTTACTTCTCATTTGGACCTAACCACAAACATTTCTGAATTGCAACTCATATCACATAAATTGTTTTTATTTTCACTCTCCTTCTGTTCTTGGTTCCCTGGAGAGAAGAGCTGTATTCTATTCATCTCTGCATCTTTCAGACTTCACATGTTTCCTGGCACATGGCTAGCATTCAATAACTATTGAATTAATTCTCCAGCCATTAGAAGAAGGTTCAATTACATTTTATATACTCTATAATAAAATAAGATAGCAAATTTTATCTTTAATTTTATCTTTAAAACCATAACTCATTAGGGTAACTCTGGGGTTATGAGTTTCAAGGCATAACTCATTAGGGTAACTCTGGGGATATGTGTATTTGAGTGTAATTTTAAAAATATTCCCAGTACCTCATAGCGATGAACAAAGGAGTACTTCCATATAATCAATGTAGCATTAGGGAGTAATCTTTTGGAAAAAGATTCCCTGTCCTCTTCTTTGACAATGTCTACTCCCTCCTATACTCTCAGAGAGATTCATGGGTTTATTCATGGCTATTCATGAAGAAATGAGTATTTGAGTTATTCATAGACTGAGAGTTGTAGTATGCCTGGTACAGTCACACTTTATGTCCCCTGCTCCATTGACCAAGAGAAAATATTTATGCTATCTCTTAATTTCCTCACATATTCTAGTTTGGATGATAAATTATATCCTCATGCTTTTTTAATTATGAGGGTATATTCCTTAGATTCTGTTTGAAACTTTCCCTCCCTAAAATTTGGAAGTTTTTACAAAAGAGAAATCTATAGAAAGCAAGTTATTTATAGCCATAACACACACTTTTACACACTACTTATCAAAACTCCATGTGAAAAGCATTTTTGTTGGCATATCATCTTTTATTAGAAAGAAATGTTAAAAAATCATGCTAACCAAAATAGGTTTAAGCACTCTTTTACCTGGGCTTTCATTGTTGTTTACGGTTGTTGTACATCACTGTTGAATCCTGAGTGATAGTCCTCAGTAATAGTGTCACAATGATGAGATTGTCATAAGTAATTTTTATTTTTGCTTAATAAGAGTTATGAGACTACATTTTGTAATTGATTTAAAATATAAATCACAGTAGATTCTAGGTTTTATAATCTGTCACTCATTGATTGTTGGTCAAGGTTGGAATTGTAAGCCTCCAAAAGCCTAGCTTATTTATTGAATTGTTCACATAAAATGATTATTACCACATGCTTGTATAATGCATCTGTAATTGACATAACATTTCTTAAAAAGACTCCTATTTTGATGTTTTCCAGAAAAGGTATGTGTGTGTGTGAGTGCGCTTGCACGTGAGTGTGTGTGTGTTTGTGTGTATGTGTGTGGTAGGGTATGGCATAGCGTAAGGTAGACAGGGTGGTGGGTCCAAATCTGGGTATGTCAGTAAATGTGTCACCTGTCAAAAGTTCCTAAGCTAAAAAGAAGATTGAGAGAAGGAAAGATATAAGGATAGAGAGAAGGAGAAGGAGAAAAGAGAAAGAAGGGAAGGAGAAAGAGAAAGAAGAGGAAGGAAGAGAAGTCTATTAACATGAATTATTTTCCATTGCAACTGTTGTCCAACATCTTACCTGTTCTCGGCATGGTCTTTCTCTTGGAGTTTGATCTCCCTTATGAAGTACAAGGCTGTCAATCTCAAGTTCCTTTACTTTGCTTCTGAACGAAATTATTGTCTTTTCTCCTGAGTCTCTTTTGCTTTAAGAAATTTATTTTGATTTCTAAGGCTAATTTCTTGTATTTCCAAATGCATTACATTTGGAAATACATGCACATTCACAAAGTCAGAGCCTTTTCCATATCCTTGTTTGAAGTTGGTAAGACTTCATACTCATAAGGGTCTTCTTTCTTAGATGTAAGAAAAAGGAATCCATGTAATTTACCCTAAATTATACATTGCTAATTTAAGAATGTCACATAAATTATACCATTCTGCTGGGCAATGAATGTGAAGTTCTTGTCTTTGCGGACTTTTGACTTAAAATAGTTAAGATATCAAATCTTTTTGTGGTTACAGAAACCTAATGGAAACTCACAAAAGGGGGAATTCTTTGACTTGCAAAATTGGCTTCATGCTCAGCTCAATCTTAAGAGATGTTATTCCCATTTCTCTCAGCTCTTTAATCTCC